TCCATATTTTTTCACTCTCCCGATTCCCCCTCACTTTCAACCGCATGGCATACCCGCGTTCATTCTCCTCCCCTTCTTGCAACAAGTGTCTCTCCCTTCCTTCTACGTAACTGTCAGCTGATACTGCCACTACGTCTACGGCTTGTACTCCCACTTCAACCTCAATGTTAATCAGGCCACTCCCATTTTATTCTTCAACCAGTTCCTGAATATGTATTAGCGCTTCTTGTTACGTCGAGATATGAACACTAGGGTTAATTATGTTTGGCACAAGGTTAAATCGGGTGATCGGTAACGCTGTTTTTTTTAGTTTGTTTTAAAGAGAGAGCTTAGCTTGAAAATCAATTTGAAAATACTGGTTTTATTGGGGTTTTTTAATAGATATTGTATCGTTTTAAAAAATTCTGTCAGGGACAATATTATATATATATATATATATATATATATATATATATATATATATATATATTGAACAATAATAAATATTAAAAATTAAAATCTTTAGACATACTAGGTTGTAGATTAATATACTTTCGTTTTTTACTATTATTATTATTTCATTTAGATTCCTTGACTAGTTTCGGCCAAAATGGCCATCATCAGGAGAAAAAAATATTTCTGCTTACTGGTAGCAGTGAACTACAGAATATACATATATATATATATATATATATATATATATATGGACGAGACCGATTTACATCTAGCATCGGAGGAGAAGGTGAAGCGGGGGGGGATATATAATTAGATGAGCCATAAGGTGGGCTTCATCTATTATCTACGCATTTGCGTTTGTTGGTTTTATCCCTTTAGAATTTACTATTTTCTTCTTAATATTTTTCTCCTCTCCACTTGCGGTGTTTTCATTTATAGAAATACCCGTGTATCGATTGTGTGTGTGTGTGTGTGTGTGTGTGTGTGTCGGGGCCGGTGCTTGGGTGTGTGTGTGTGTGTGGGGGGGGCTCCTTGTACGACTCACTTCTTCCGCCTTGTTCCCATCTTTCAATGCCTCTAAATCAGGGCGTTTAATGTTGACGTTCTTTTATCATGTCGTCTCTTTCATCGGCGCGACGACCACCGAGTCATTTTTTGTCGTATTCTATTTATTTCAACCGCGCCCAAATAAAGACGAGCGCAGACGTGTGTTTTTTGTTTTGTTTTGTTTTTTGTTTGTTTGTTTGTTTTTTGTTTTGGTTTTTCTTTTCCCCAATATACATCGAGGTGCGAATTTTTTTTTATGCTCATGTCTTACAAAGTGTCGTCGGCATTTTCCGCCTTTTGTCGTAACGTAACTCTTAGTTTTTTCTGTGCGTTTCAAAGCTTAAAATCCTGCTGTCTTTCTCATTCGCACTCTCTTTCTCTCTCACTCTCTATTTTATTTTTTTCTATTTATGTTCCATTATATTTTGATTGTTAATTTCTTTCTTTCAAGTTCGTTTGATTCTTTTTTTTCTTTTTACTTTCTTCCATTCTTTCTTTTCTTACTTTCTTTCTTTCTTTCTTTTTTTCTTTTCTTTCTTTCTTTCTTTCTTTCTTTCTTTCTCATCGAAATTTTCATTCCAAATTCGAACATTTATTTCTTTCTTTCTTTCTTTCTTTCTTTCTTTCTTTCTTTCTTTCTTTCTTTCTTTCTTTCTTTCTCATCGAAATTTTCATTCCAAATTCGAACATTTCTTTCTTTCTTTCTTTCTTTCTTTCTTTCTTTCTTATCGAAATTTTCATTCCAAATTCGAACATTTCTTTCTTTCTTTCTTTCTTTCTTTCTTTCTTTCTTTCTTTCTTTTCTTTCTTTCTTTCTTTCTTTCTCATCAGAAATTTTCATTCCAAATTCAGACATTTCTTTCTTTCTTTCTTTCTTTCTTTCTTTCTTTCTTTCTTTCTTTCTTTCATCATCAATTTTCATTCCAAATTCAGACATTTCTTTCTTTTTTTTTCTTTCTTATCAAATTTTCATTTCCAAATTCGAACATTTCTTTCTTTATTTCTTTCTTTCTCATCAGAAATTTTCATTCCAAATTCGAACATTTCTTTCTTTCTTTCTTTCTTTCTTTCTTTCTTTCTTTCTTTCTTTCTTATCGAAATTTTCATTCCAAATTCGAACATTTCTTTCTTTCTTTCTTTCTTTCTTTCTTTCTTTCTTTCTTTCTTTCTCATCGAAATTTTCATTCCAAATTCGAACATTTCTTTCTTTCTTTCTTTCTTTCATTCTTTCTTTCTTTCTTTTTTTCTTTCTTTCTTTCTCATCGAAATTTTCATTCCAAATTCGAACATTTCTTTCTTTCTTTCTTTCTTTCTTTCTTATCGAAATTTTCATTTCCAAATTCAACATTTCTTTCTTTCTTTCTTATCAAATTTTCATTTCAAATTCAGACAATTCTTTCTTTCTTTCTTTCTTTCTTTCTCATCGAAATTTTCATTTCCAAATTCAGACATTTCTTTTTTTTTCTTTTCTTTCTTTCTTTCTTTCTTTCTTTCTTTCTTTCTTTCTTTCTCATCGAAATTTTCATTCCAAATTCGAACATTTCTTTCTTTCTTTCTTTCTTTCTTTCTTTCTTATCGAAATTTTCATTCCAAATTCGAACATTTCTTTCTTTCTTTCTTTCTTTCTTTCTTTCTTTCTCATCAAATTTTTCATTCCAAATTCAGACATTTCTTTCTTTCTTTCTTTCTTTCTTTCTTTTTCTTTCTTTCTCATCGAAATTTTCATTCCAAATTCGAACATTTCTTTCTTTCTTTCTTTCTTTCTTATCGAAATTTTCATTCCAAATTCGAACATTTCTTTCTTTCTTTCTTTCTTTCTCATCGAAATTTTAATTCCAAATTCGAACATTTCTTTCTTTCTTTCTTTCTTTCTTTCTTTCTTTCTTTCTTATCGAAATTTTCATTCCAAATTCGAACATTTCTTTCTTTCTTTCTTTCTTTCTTTCTTTCTTTCTTTCTCATCGAAATTTTCAATCCAAATTCGAACATTTCTTTCTTTCTTTCTTTTTTCTTTCATTCTTTCTTTTTTCTTTTTTTTCTTTCTTTCTTTCATCAAAATTTTTCATTTCCAAATTCAACATTTCTTTTCTTTCTTTCTTTCTTTTCTTTCTTATCAGAAATTTTCATTCCAAATTCAACATTTCTTTCTTTCTTTCTTATCAGAAATTTTCATTCCAAATTCGAACATTTCTTTCTTTCTTTCTTTCTTTCTTTCTCATCAGAATTTTCATTCCAAATTCGAACATTTCTTTCTTTCTTTCTTTTCTTTCTTTCTTTCTTTCTTTCTTTCTTATCAAATTTTCATTCCAATTTCAACATTTCTTTCTTTCTTTCTTTCTTTCTTTCTTATCAGAAATTTTCATTCCAAATTCAGACATTTCTTTCTTTCTTTCTTTTCTTTCTTTCTTTCTTTTCTTTCTCATCAGAAATTTTTCATTCCAAATTCGAACATTTCTTTCTTTCTTTTCTTTCTTTCTCATCAAAATTTTCATTCCAAATTCAGACATTTCTTTCTTTCTTTCTTTCTTTCTTTCTTTCTTTCTTTCTTTTTCTCATCAAATTTTCATTCCAAATTCAACATTTCTTTTCTTTCTTTCTTTCTTTCTTTCTTTCTTATCAAATTTTCATTTCCAAATTCAGACATTTCTTTCTTTCTTTTTCTTTCTTTTCTTTCTTTCTTATCAGAAATTTTCATTCCAAATTCAACATTTCTTTCTTTTCTTTCTTTCTTTCTTTCTTTCTTTCTTATCAAAATTTTCATTCCAAATTCGAACATTTCTTTCTTTCTTTCTTTCTTTCTTATCAGAAATTTTCATTTCCAAATTCGAACATTTCTTTCTTTCTTTCTTTCTTTCTTTCTTTCTCATCAGACTTTTCATTCCAAATTCGAACATTTCTTTCTTTCTTTCTTTCTTTCTTTCTTTCTTTCTTTCTTATCGAAATTTTCATTCCAAATTCGAACATTTCTTTCTTTCTTTCTTTCTTTCTTTCTTATCGAAATTTTCATTCCAAATTCGAACATTTCTTTCTTTCTTTCTTTCTTTCTTTCTTTCTCATCGAAATTTTCATTCCAAATTCGAACATTTCTTTCTTTCTTTCTTTCTTTCTTATCGAAATTTTCATTCCAAATTCGAACATTTCTTTCTTTCTTTCTTTCTTTCTTTCTTTCTTTCTTACCAATCCCCTTTCTTTCTTTCTTTCTTTCTTTCTTTCTTTTTTATCGAAATTTTCATTCCAAATTCGAACATTTCTTTCTTTCTTTCTTTCTTTCTTTCTTTCTCATCGAAATTTTCATTCCAAATTCGAACATTTCTTTCTTTCTTTCTTTCTTATCGAAATTTTCATTCCAAATTCGAACATTTCTTTCTTTCTTTCTTTCTTTCTTTCTTTCGTACCAATCCCCTTTCTTTCTTTCTTTCTTTCTTTCTTTCTTTCTTATCGAAATTTTCATTCCAAATTCAACATTTCTTTCTTTCTTTCTTTCTTTTCTTTCTTTTCTTTCTTTCTTTCTTTCTCATCATCAAATTTTCATTTCCAAATTCGAACATTTCTTTCTTTCTTTCTTTCTTTCTTTCTTTCTTTCTTTTCTTTCTTTCTCATCGAAATTTTCATTCCAAATTCAGACATTTCTTTCTTTCTTTCTTTTCTTTCTTTCTTTCTTATCGAAATTTTCATTCCAAATTCAGACATTTTTCTTTCTTTCTTTCTTTCTTTCTTTCTTTCTTTCTTTCTTTCTTTCTTTCTTTCTCATCAGAAATTTTCATTCCAAATTCAGACATTTCTTTCTTTCTTTCTTTCTTTCTTTCTTTCTTTCTTTCTTTCTTTCATCATCGAAATTTTCATTCCAAATTCGAACATTTCTTTCTTTCTTTCTTTCTTTCTTATCGAAATTTTCATTCCAAATTCGAACATTTCTTTCTTTCTTTCTTTCTTTCTCATCGAAATTTTAATTTCCAAATTCAGAACATTTTCTTTCTTTCTTTCTTTCTTTCTTTCTTTCTTTCTTATCAGAATTTTCATTTCCAAATTCAGACATTTCTTTCTTTCTTTCTTTCTTTCTTTCTTTCTTTCTTTCTTTCTTTCTCATCGAAATTTTCATTCCAAATTCGAACATTTCTTTCTTTCTTTCTTTCTTTCATTCTTTCTTTCTTTCTTTTTCTTTCTTTCTTTCTCATCAAATTTTCATTTCAAATTCAGACATTTCTTTCTTTCTTTCTTTCTTTCTTTCTTATCAAATTTTCATTCCAAATTCGAACATTTCTTTTTTCTTTCTTTCTTTCTTTTTTCTTTCTCATCAAATTTTCATTTCAAATTCAGACATTTCTTTCTTTTCTTTCTTTCTTTCTTTCTTTCTTTCTCATCAAAATTTTCATTTCATTCCAAATTTCTTTCTTTCTTTCTTTCATTTTCTTTCTTTCTTTTCTTTTTTCATTTTTCTCATCAGAACATTTCATTTCTTTCTTTTTCTTTCTTTCTTTCTTTCTTTTCTTTCTTTCTTATCAAATTTTCATTTCCAAATTCAGACATTTCTTTCTTTCTTTCTTTCTTTCTTTCTTTCTTTCTTTCTTTCTTTCTTTCTCATCAGAATTTTTCATTCCAAATTCAGACATTTCTTTCTTTCTTTCTTTTTTCTTTCATTCTTTTTTCTTTCTTTTTTTTCTTTTTCTTTCTCATCGAAATTTTCATTCCAAATTCAGACATTTCTTTCTTTCTTTCTTTCTTTCTTTCTTATCGAAATTTTCATTCCAAATTCGAACATTTCTTTCTTTCTTTCTTATCGAAATTTTCATTCAAAATTCGAACATTTCTTTCTTTCTTTTTTTCTTTCTTTCTAATCGAAATTTTCATTCCAAATTCGAACATTTCTTTCTTTCTTTCTTTCTTTCTTTCTTTCTTTCTTTCTTTCTTATCGAAATTTTCATTCCAAATTCGAACATTTCTTTCTTTCTTTCTTTCTTTCTTTCTTATCGAAATTTTCATTCCAAATTCGAACATTTCTTTCTTTCTTTCTTTCTTTCTTTCTTTCTTTCTTTCTTTCTCATCGAAATTTTCATTCCAAATTCGAACATTTCTTTCTTTCTTTCTTTCTTTCTCATCGAAATTTTCATTCCAAATTCGAACATTTCTTTCTTTCTTTCTTTCTTTCTTTCTTTCTTTCTTTCTTTCTTTCTTTCTCATCGAAATTTTCATTCCAAATTCGAACATTTCTTTCTTTTCTTTCTTTCTTTTCTTTCTTATCGAAATTTTCATTTCCAAATTCGAACATTTCTTTTCTTTCTTTCTTTCTTTCTTTCTTTCTTTCTTATCAAATTTTCATTTCCAAATTCAAACATTTCTTTCTTTCTTTCTTTCTTTCTTTCTTATCAAATTTTTCATTTCCAAATTCAGACATTTCTTTCTTTCTTTCTTTCTTTCTTTCTTTCTTTCTCATCGAAATTTTCATTTCCAAATTCGAACATTTTCTTTCTTTCTTTCTTTCTTTCTTTCTCATCAGACTTTTTCATTCCAAATTCAGACATTTCTTTCTTTCTTTCTTTCTTTCTTTCTTTCTTTCTTTCTTTCTTTCTTTCTTATCAAAAATTTTCATTTCCAAATTCGAACATTTCTTTCTTTCTTTCTTTCTTTCTTTCTTATCGAAATTTTCATTCCAAATTCGAACATTTCTTTCTTTCTTTCTTTCTTTCTTTCTTTCTTTCTTTCTCATCAAATTTTCATTCCAAATTCAGACATTTCTTTCTTTCTTTCTTTCTTTCTTATCAAAATTTTCATTTCCAAATTCAGACATTTCTTTCTTTCTTTCTTTCTTTCTTTCTTTCTTTCTTACCAATCCCTTTCTTTCTTTCTTTCTTTCTTTCTTTCTTTTTTATCGAAATTTTCATTCCAAATTCGAACATTTCTTTCTTTCTTTCTTTCTTTCTTTCTTTCTCATCGAAATTTTCATTCCAAATTCAAACATTTCTTTCTTTCTTTCTTTCTTTTCTTATCAGAAATTTTCATTCCAAATTCCTTTCATTTCTTTCTTTCTTTCTTTTTCTTTTTCCTTTCTTTCTTTTCTTTCCCCTTTCTTTCTTTCTTTTCTTTCTTTCTTTCTTTCTTATCAGAATTTTCATTTCCAAATTCAGACATTTCTTTCTTTCTTTCTTTTCTTTCTTTCTTTCTTTTCTTTCTTTCTTTCTCATCAGAAATTTTCATTCCAAATTCAGAACATTTCTTTCTTTTCTTTCTTTCTTTCTTTCTTTCTTTCTCATCGAAATTTTCATTCCAAATTCGAACATTTCTTTCTTTCTTTCTTTCTTTCTTTCTTTCTTTCTTATCGAAATTTTCATTCCAAATTCGAACATTCTTTCTTTCTTTCTTTCTTTCTTTCTTTCTTTCTTATCAAATTTTCATTCAAATTCGAACATTTGTTTCTTTCTTTCTTTCTTTCTTTCTTATCGAAATTTTCATTCCAAATTCAAACTTTCTTTCTTTCTTTCTTTCTTTCTTACTTACTTTTTTTCTTTGTCTCCAAAAACGTAAGTCGTTTCCTATCTATCTATCTATCTATCTATCTATCTATCTATCTATACATATATATATATATACATATATATATATATACATATTTATATGTTATACTGAATTATATATTCAATTTACTAATGTAACAATAATTCCGCAATCTTTTTCTTTACGTAAGCAACTCCCTTGTGAATGCACTTAATACATTCGATGGTTCGAATGAGTGTTATAGAAAAAAACATTTCAGATCAAAACTCAGCCAATAAATTTGTTATTCTGTGGACCTGTTGTTCAATGATCAACGGGAAACACACACACACACACACACACACACACACACACACACACATATATATATATATACACACTCACACATACTATATATATATATATATATATATATTAACACCAACTCGACCAAAGTTGTATATATATATATATATATATATATATATATATATATAATTGATAATAATATAGATTAATATTTAATATATTTATGGGTTAAAGTGCTCAATATCAGAGATAAACTGTATGTAAATATATAAGTGGGCATTGAAGTCAACACCAAAGGGTGACAGTTAGTTTCACGCTTAAACGGAATCTTCAGGCCTGACCATTAGTTTAATCATGAAACAGACTGTAGGCCGACGGATGTCTCTTATATATATATATATATATATATATATATATATATATATATATAATTATTTATTCGAAAATTATAACATAAATATGTTATAAAATCACTACAAAATTTTTATCTTTTTAAAAAATTCTGTCAGGGGATGATATTATATATATATATATATATATATATATATATATGTGTGTGTGTGTGTGTGTGTGTGTGTGTGTGTGTGTGTGTGTGTGTGTGTGTGTATGTGTGTGTGTGTGTGTGAAAATATATAGAAAATAGGAAAAAGAACTGGTTAGGTAAATAATCCAAATTCCTTAGTATTTTAGTTATTATTTTTTAAAAATAGTGCTTTGGTTTTCTATAAGGTTGGTATGTGTTGCCTGGTAAGTCTAGAGTTACGTCGAGGAAGTTTACCCTTTTCAAATTAGAAGAGACAATTATCTTTAAGTTTAGATTTTTCTGATTTTTTCTATCTTAAAACTAGTAGAACTCCTCAGCACCATGAGCCCGTCATCTCTATACAGTCCGATGTCCTTAATATCAATTTCGCGGTGTGCCGTTAAGTTGTACAGTATTAAAAGACCAACAAGGTCAGAAGACAACGCAGAGTCTAACGATCCCATAGTGATGTCAAACAGGTCGTTATTGTTTTTTACTCATTGGTCCCCATTATGAGTGAGGACTGATTTTTTTGCGCTGAGGATTATATCTGTTTCTTCCTTTGTCAGGTTAGAATACACAGCAGCAAAGTCCAGGGCAGTCATAAATAGATCTTTCGAAATTGATGGGTAGTAATCCACGATATCGAACTGTATTAGGGTGCAATTTGGTTTATCATCAATATAGTTAAACCAATTGATGACATCTTAAGTATTGATCCATAATTTTAATTCCAGTTGTTTTTTTTTATTTGGCAGGTAATTTTTTCCAGGATCCTTTTGCTGATCTTTCCTATGTCGGATCGGGTAGGGATAATTATTCTAGTTGCAGGGTTTTCCAAAAAGTCAGGCTTATGGTCCTTAAGAGTTATGTAACATTCCTTTTCAACAAGTTTACCTACTCTATCGGTAATTTTTAATTTATCAGTTATTTTTTTACGAATTCTGTTTATGCTATCGACCATATTGATGTTGTTGTTGCAAGCTTTTTTATAAGTCCTGGTTAAGTTTTTTTTAATTAAGTTGTTGTAGTCATCAACAGCCAATTTGTAGAAGTTGCCGGTTTTGTCAGACTTAACTAATATTTTGTCACAATCATTTATGCTTTTAACTATTTGGTTTAGATGTTTTTGGAAGTGGCTTTTCTTTTTTGGAAAGGAGATGTTGTTGATAATGTTGAGTAGGTCTTTTTCAAATTCGTATAGCTGTTTGTTGAATGGTGCAACTTTTTTACTTTTGAAGCCGTAAACTTCGCGTTCTTTATCGGCTGAGTTATTCCCACGAAAGTAGAAGTATGTCTTCCATCTCATCCTTCTAATTAATTCCTCTGTTTTTTGTAAAAGTTTAACAAAATAATTAATTCCGTTTGTTTGTTTGTGGAATGATTTTCAATGAAATCCCGAAATTAACTTTTTCCCTATTTTTAAAGGAGTATTTATGTCGCGAGTTGGAATCATATTTTTAAATAAATAATTATATATATATATATATATATATATATATATATATATATATATAGTAGTCGACTCTCCCGTCGATTTCGACGTATATGAGGTCAAACAGATCAGTTTCAGAAACCGACAGCCCGACCCGGCACATGAGATTTGGTTATAATGGTGAAGGCCTCGTGCAGGACCATCCACACTTTTTGAAGGGCCGAATACAGAGACCTGTTTTCCGAATGCCACAAGGTTCCCCAAACGACCCTCCGCAGGTTTGAATTCAAGTTGTCCTTCTCCTAAACCAGTTACCATCCAAGGCTATAGAACCCAGTATGTCCTGCTATTTTACCCATAGCTGGAGGGAGAGTAAGAGGATTCATATATATATATATATATATATATATATATATATATATATATATAGTGTAACCCGGATATGAAAAAGTTGTCGGGACCGGAGAAAGTCTTTTATATCCAGGTTTCTCTTATATCCAGGTTTGGACTATTTTATATACATTAACACAGGCTCTAATTTGGGACCAGAGCGAATCGCTCTTATATCCGGGTTTCTCTTATATCCGGGTTTCTTATATCCGGGTTACACTGTATATTCTACTAATCTTGTAAATAAATTAGTTAGCCCTAATATTAGGATCTCTACCAATACGTCCAAGACAATCGGAGATATAATTAAGAAGAAAATTAAATCCAACGCCAATTCTGATGCCGGTACTTATCAAAGTGGAGGCACGGTGGAGTAATGGATTGAGGAATCGGAGAGCTGGGTTCGAATTCCAGTCGAATCCATTATATTCACTTACGTTCTAATACCCTTGGGAAAGGTATGAATCCTATTCTTCTGTCCCCAGCTATGGTTAAATAGCAGGCCAAAGCAGATTCCATAGTCTTAGACGGTCTACTGTTGAAAGAAATAGCAACTTACTGCGGGAAAAAAAAAATCAAGATCAGCTAAGCGTGTATCTCGCAAGGCACATTACTCGCTCCAGGGAGAAAACAAAAACAAAAAAAAAACTTTATCGTCACTTCTAGTTTCACTCGATGAAGGGATACTTAAACGCTTCACCGAACGCAAAATGATAAACATCAAAGAAATAAACACATACACACACAGCATGTATGTCTGCGTGTTTGAGAGATAGAGATAGATAGATAGATAGATAGATAGATAGAGAGAGAGAGAGAGAGAGAGAGAGAGAGAGAAAGAATGCTAATATATAGTGTCGGAAAAAATAAATACATTCGTCCGTAAATTTTTCGTCGCTGTGTCATAGCAATATAGGAACACACACGCACACACACACACACACATATATATATATATGTAAATATACAGTGATTTTCCAAGTGCAGTTAGGATGTGGCACAAATTGTTAGCGAGACAAGTTTGTTAACCATTACACCACGTCGAGGTGCCCTTCTTCTAAGCACTGCTTAGATGTGGCACAAGGCCGAATGTAGGAGGTACCCAGTGAGGATCGAACTCACTACTTAGTCGTAACTTTTTCTAGCGAAACAAGCTTGTTAACCATTACACCACGTCAGGGTGCCCATATATATATATATATATATATATATATATATATATATATGTGTGTGTGTGTGTGTGTGTGTGTGTGTGCGATGTGTGTGTGGAAAGCGCTCAAAATCAGTAACAGAGCTAACATATTTAGTTTAATGGATATGAATTTGTAAACCTGGGATTTACTCGTTTGTCTGACGATCGCAAAAAGCGTGAAACCCATAGTTACAAACTCAGATCCATTCAACTATATATATATATATATATATATATATATATATATATATATATATTTCACTATAATTGAGAGAATATAGAAAGTTCAGAGCAGATAACATTAGAAAGATTTTAGAGTCCCATGAAAATAAGTGGATACAACGTCTAAAAAACAATACCCAGCCAGGCTAAATCATAAATTTAACAACATATAATAGTAACAATCAACAAATCAAAACCTACCCACATTTCTCACCCACACAAGACAGACATGCTTAGGAGGAATGGAGGCCTCACACTATACACTCACCCACACGATTATACACACGTACGCACACCATACTCACTCACTCCCTAATGAGCCAAATGATAACACACACCTACAGCAATACACACGCTTACATATATCATACTCACTCACTCCCTAAGAACCAAATAACACACACACAAACACTAAACAGAGACACATCCCTCACCAGGTCCAATAAAACTGTCAAACTGACCAGAGAATTCAGGATAAAATGTATCCATCCAGTTCTTATCTCAAATAACAACTTAAAAGAGACTGTTTGACCAAAACAAGGAATGTTAAAAGATTCATGTGAAAAAGATAAAAAATAAAAAACAAATGAAAACTACAGACAAAAGTTCATTTTCTCAACAAAAGACATTCATTTCTGTAGTTCCTTGCCAACAGCAAGCAGAAATATTCCTCGCCTCCCCATGATGGCCATTTCGGTCGAAACTAGTCGAGGAATCTAAATGGAATAATAATAATAATAATAAAACGAAAGAATATTAATCTACAACCCAGTGTGTCTAATGATTTTAATTTTTAATTTTAATTTTCTTATTGTTCAAAATATATATATATATATATATATATATATATATATATATATATATATATATATATAAATTGCAAATTAAAAAATAATGTTTTTTATGAAAGTATTTATTTATTTGTATATATATTTGATATTTCAGGTTGACCCCAATCTTTCTTCAGAAATAACTGTTTG